TGGAGAGGAGTTCTTTCAACCCTTCAATTAATCATAATTGCATTTGATCGTTACATATTTTGATTTTATTAATGATTTTTTCATCCGCCTTCTGTTATCCTTTATCCGTTTGTTTTAAAGGGTGTTTATTCAAGTTTGCCATCAACGGTGAAGACTGGATGAGCCTCATTGGTCAAAAATAATAGAGTTTAGATTAAAAACGGACAATAATCAACACCATCTATTGAGTTATCAAAAAGAGGCAATTAAATTATAATGATTTGACTTGATTAATCTTTTCTCTCTAAAACTCAATCCACCCTTCAAGTTTAAATCCCATTCAATTGAATATTGTCAACTAATACATTCTTATTTCTCTTTTTTGCTGTTTAATTATCCATAGGAAACTCTCAGAATACGACAAATGGAACAAATGGGCTGTACATATTTGCTGTGACAATTTAGTGATTATAGATGAAATTAAAGAGTCAATTAAAGAAGCTATTGCCCTCCATCAACCGTCTGAAGATGAAGCATCTACAAGTAAATCTTGGTGTGATCTTTTACTTTTTATTCCTGTCCGATTGGGTTTAAATGAATTCAATAAATTGTATTATGATGCCATCAAAAACTCTTTCCGCCTTCCTCAGAGTCTGGGCATAATTGGTGGTCGACCAAATCATGCTCTTCATTTCATTGGTTGTGTTGGTAACGAGATGATCTATTTTGACCCTCACACAACGCAATATGCTGTTGATCCAGAACCTTTAGTCGATATCGATACTAAATCAGATGAAGATTTGGCAAATTTAGAGTTCGACGATTCTACCTATCACAATGATAATGCCTTTCGTTTGGAATTTTCTCAACTTGATCCTTCCATGGCCATGTGTTTCTATTTTCGATCCGAGGAAGATTTTGATAGTTGGTGTACTCTTATTCACAGTCTCCTTGTTAAGAATGTCCCACAGTCATTGTTTGAATTATTTAAAGAACGACCTTATAAAATGCTTAATTTGAGCCCAAACGAAAATCCCGCCAACAGTCAAGATGATTATGATACTGGTGCAATCCCTCAACCTAAACAATCAACAGATCTCGTCAAAGAATCAGAGGATGAAGATTTTGAAATACTGAGTGGTGATTAATGTCCACATCCAATAAACACTTATCCCGTCTGTTATTCACCTGTAGATCACATCGTCACTTTCCATCATGATCCACACAAGAAAAGAGTATTGATTACAAAATTTTTATAAAAAAAGACATCACGTTGTTCTTATATTTTTGTCCTTTTAAGACTGTTTGTATTAAAAAAATTCAATTGTAATAACTTCTTCTCTGAATTCAAATAGTTCAAATTGTACCATTCGTTTCTGTATCAACTGAAATCAAAACATTTCCATTGTAACTGATACTTCTCTGGATATAAATCACGAGATTTCATTTCATGGAAAGCCATTTTTATCCACAAATTATGACATCAAATTTAATTTTCTATCAATGTAAAATTTACCCGATAGTTCAAACATAACAAAACAGAAGTCTTCACTCTAATGAAATCATCAAGAATAATCCAAATTAATCAGTCGTTAAAGATTATGAAAAATACCCACAACAGTTGGTCAAAGAGTGACTGTAATTGGCTTGGATCATTCTGTATCAATAATGTACCAAAGGCGTTTCATATTTTGCTAGCTAGATAGGCTTATGTTCACCCAATAATGTCTATTGTTGAGATATGAATTTATCTTGAATAACAAATCACTCGATATATCTGTCCACTTTTTAATAACAATTGAATCGTATTTACTGCATCAAGTAAATCTCGCCTAAACTGATGATCAAAGCTAAATATTTGGAAGCAAATATTACCAACAGTTCCAACAATAGGCATTTAATGCACAATATTTCGTGTTTTAACTCTAGCCTTACAATTCCAACCTATTCAGTATAAAAAACAAATACATGAAAATAGGTGATCAACATGAAAAAATAGGAATCACAGTGTTTGTTTGGTTTCATGTAAATTTGAAATAAATGAATTTAGATGCACACTTTTTGAAGCCCAATTTCACTTACATTATTGATTAAATTGCAGGTTTGATTTTTGTATTACAGATTCTAAAGTTAAACAATGATTAACAACAAAGATCTTACTATCCTCAACACTTCTATTTTCATAATTAACAACTGCTTAGTGATTAAACCATGTTAAATCTTGAAAACTTTCATGTTTTTGTTTTACTTTAACCGGAACTTTTTTCAATCCAAGCTCTATTTTGATTGACTCAGTATTTTTTACTCCTTGTAATTTTTCATCTTGATCTTGATTTTTAATCAGTTTGATTATCATCTTCTTATTCAAATTTGGCCTTTTCAAAGTCAATTGGCTTTTATTATCACTGATTTAATCGAACCTGTTGCAATCCTTCGATAAATCACATAGTTTAAAAGGTAAATCCAGCCTCTTCGATTTTCCTAATCTAAATTAATTTTTCGCTGTCATAATCATAATTTTTAACACCATCAATTCAAAATGTGACTATTTCTCTATGGAAGTTTTTCACTCCACCTTTTCGAATCGACTTATAAATATCTTTTTGTAACTTACATTCTGAGTCTTCGTCTCCATCTTAGTTTGGTCACATTACTCTTCGCCAGATCGATTTGTATCGACAACTAGACGTGTTTTTGTTGAAACATTTTTTTGGGAATCAAAGTAAAACCAAAATTCAATCTTCTGACCAATTCCCATTATTTTGTGCCTTAGTGAAGATGGATTCAAAGCAATTTCGTGAAGCTGCCAAACAACTTGTTGATTATATTTGTGATTATCATGACAATATACGAGATCGCGATGTTTTGCCAGCCGTTCAACCATATTTTCTTGAGAAGCAAATGCCTGGTTCAGCACCAGAAAATGGTGAACCATGGACATCCGTGTTCAATGATATTGAAAAGTTAATTATGCCTGGGGTGAGTTAAATCTATTTTATTTTTGGTGAAACAAATGTTTAATTTTTATATAATTAAGCAAATCATGAAACTCAAAGTTCAGATTATTGCATTTTGAAGTTGTTTCAAATTTTCTCATCATTCTGTTAACGTGATTTCTCGATGAGGAGGATTAAGATAAAGTGATGAAACAGAGGCAAGAACATGTAATTAAGTGAGAAGTGATGATAAGTTAGAAACAATCACTTACATGGTGATGAAGTATTAATGGAATCTTCTGATCAGTTAACAATTTAATTGTGAAACAAGTAGTTGGACTGGGAATAGGAAATCAGAAAACGCTTAAAATTTGCTTATTCAGCTCATCATCATCATCTATTTGAAACGGAAAACAACCAGTTATGATTCAGTGATGAGATTATTTGAAATTAGATGAGGACTGAGCAAAAGATATTTAAAGGTCGCATGAAACTTGAAAGGGTAAATTTGCTAAAATAAAATCAAAACTAAATTCATCATTTTCAATGCTAATCACAAATGCAAATTTATCCAACTTGTTCAATCCATTCTCATTTGACACTAAATAAGATTTTAAATTTGTTACTTTGACCATTTCACAGATGACACACTGGCATTCGCCTCGATTTCACGCTTATTTTCCAACAGCCAGCTCTTATCCAGCCATTTTAGCCGATATGTTAAGCGGAGCTTTGGGCTGTGTAGGCTTTAGTTGGGTAAGTCACCTCAATAAACAATTGTGCAAATCATTTGAATCCCTTAAACAATTCAATTAGATTTCAAGTCCGATTTGTACTGAGCTGGAAATGTCCATGATGGATTGGCTTGGTAAAATGCTTCATTTACCATCTGAGTTTCTCTTTTCCTCTCATGGCAAAGGCGGTGGAGTGATTCAAGAGGCTGCAAGTGAATCTACTTTAATCTGTATGCTGGCAGCTCGAAGTAGAGCGATAACAAAATACTCTTCCTCTTCTTCACCAAAAAACAAATCACCTTTGAACAAGTTAGTCGCTTATTGTTCAACTCAAGCCCATTCATCGGTAGAAAAGGCTGCCTTATTAAGTGCAGTAAAAATTCGCAGTCTAGATCCAGACACGAATCTTTCTTTGCGCGGAGAGACACTGGAAAGGGCGATAAAAGACGACAGGGAAAAAGGATTGATCCCATTCTTTGTTGCTGCCTCATTAGGAACAACCAATAGCTGTGCATTTGATAACATCATTGAAATTGGCCAAATATGTGAGTAAACATCTCTTTATCCTTTAATTCACTCCTTCATTCTCATGGCAATTTTAAATTCAATCATCAGGTCAAAAGGAAGATATTTGGTTACATATCGATGCAGCTTATGCCGGTTCAGCTTTCATTTGTCCTGAGTATCGCCATTATCTCAATGGAGTTGATGTAAGTTTACTTGATTATCGCACTTTTTTCCTAATAAACTGTGAACTTTTATAATTCAAGTTCCCAGAATTAAATTCACTTCGCTCTTGTAACCAACTCTTACTTTGATTTTATTAGAAAGCTGATTCCTTCAATATGAATCCACACAAATGGCTGTTAGTTAACTCTGATTGTTCTGCTTTATGGTTTGTATCATTATTCAAAATTATTGATTTAAATACTAACATATCCAATTTGGATTGACATTATTTCAGGGTTAAAAATTTAAATTTGATTAGCGATGCTTTCAATGTTGATCCAGTTTACTTGAAATATGATAAACAAGGGCAAATCCACGATTTTCGGGTATGAATCAACTTTATTTTGTTTTAATACAATCTAGAGTCTGACATTTTTTGACCTTTTATTTGAACAAATAGCATTTGCAAATAGCATTGGGTCGTCGATTCCGTTCATTGAAAATGTGGTTCGTTTTCCGACTTTATGGACTCA